AATCTTAATTATTCTCATTTCATTATTTGCACACTTGTTTCTTTTTAGTATAATGTTACTCTGTACTTTTTTTTGTCTAAATTTTGTTTGAATGTTTTAAATGGAATCTAGAAATTTACTTTTAAGAAAGAAAAACATACATCTAAAGTGAATATATCTATAAAGAACAAATTCCAATTCAGTATGTCAAATATCATAAAAAAAACAATCATTCGGATATTGTTTAAATACAAAGCTTATAAGATCATGTTGATAAAATTTAAAATGATTTATTATATAGACAATATACCAATGACATTCAAATAATATTAAATTTTCTGTGGCTTGGTGTAACGTCTGATATTAATACTATCAACGGTATTATTACTGCTTAGTAGACCTTCTTCTACAGACGAAATAGACCAATTCACATTTTTTAATTAAACTAAAATTATAGTTTTACAGCATGTTAGATGTTTATCACCTGAAAAAGTCTCAGTAAATGTGAAAGTATGTGTCATAAAATCAGCAAAAAGTAAACAAAATGTAGCATTTTGGCTTCCATACAAATTCTAAATCACAAATGGAAATAATTGCCAAAAATAATCAACAGAAGCTAAACATGGTGCATGTAATTTGCAAATGAATATATTTTACTAAAAGAAACCTAAGGGAAATAACAATAAAATATTTTCTGGGACATAAAGGACCTTAAAGAGCCTAATAAGATTTTTGTACAATATTTCAGATTTTATGATTTTAAGATGGTAAGTTTCTTTAATTTATAAAAGTAAAATAAAAACATGTATATACCATTTCTGAAGGATGTAAAATGTCTCATTTAACAATACAACTAATTGGACTTATTGATGTTGATAAATTGAAATAGTATACATGTATATCATTATTGGAGAAAGTTTGTCGTTATATATGTTTTACAAAGACATATAATTGATACGTGTTTGTTGAAACAAAAACAGGTGCGTTATAAAAGTTAAAGAGAAACAGTGATCGGTAGGTAGTTAAAAGTGCTGAAGGGTGCGGGGCTTCTTTATCTTTACACCTGAATGTCATTGTCAAAGTCAGATACAAAAACTAAGATTTAATATCCAACTAAACATTATAATATTTTTAATGGACAAAACAAATATTTAGTAACTCAAGGATTCTCAAATGTATCTCATTTAATAAAATTGCTAATGACGTAAAATGTCCATTGGTCCTTAAATAGATTTAACAATTGTAATAGTGTTTAATGATTTGTTCTAACTCTTTTAATTCCATGAGATGCAAAGTGTAAAGAAAATGAAAGGATTTCCTGTCAATAGATTTATACCATTTCTGTCAGTTGTCTAAATATAGATATGTTAGAATTTTTATGTGTGTTCCAAAACAAATTGCCCACGTTTAAACACTGAAATTTGTTTTTTTTATCTTCCTTTTATCTTCCTTATGAATTATTATGTTCTCTATATGGTACCATTAATATAAACTATCTTTGTTCCGTCGTTTTGTGTTCGTTAAATTTTCAGAGCTTTGTTTATTACCAGACATATATATTATTATTAAATTTAAATAATTATTTGAAATGCTACAGATGGAATCTTCTGGGACAAATTCATACAAAATAGTTTCTTAATAGTGACACCGTAACAAAGTTATCATAGTTTCATTTTCGTGTACAAGATAATGACCTTATTATTTTCCAAAATAAATCAAGCGACGTCAAAAATTCTGAATCATATTGGTAGTGTCGTACTACAAGTCCAATTATGCCTAAAAATACTTTTAATTTTATTTCTCAGAAGTTTTTAATGTTGTTATTCTTGTATAGTATCCAAAAAGTTACCAATTAACCAATTACCTGAGTCATTTTTCTTTTTGGCTGTAAGTATAGTGCTAGTGAATGAGTATTTTGTATGAAAGTCAACAAATCTACTTTGTTTACAATTTGCTACTTTAATGACCAATAAGTTTACATTTACCGCTACCTTCTTCAGGGAACAAGCATCTTTTATTCTCTAAAACGCAATTTAAACATTATTAAATACATTTATGCCCTTTCTAAAGAAGTAAAAATGTATTTATTTCGTCCTTAACTCAATTTGTGAATGAAATTTATATAAACTTGTTAAAGTAGTAATTTACTAAGAAGTAAGTTATAACATAACATTGGTACATTTTGTATCACAAAATGTTCTCTTTTTTTTTTCGAAAAAAAAAAGAAATATTAAGAGGATATTTTTTTCGTTTGCGTGAAATATGGAATATATTTTCACGAAACATGATAAAATGCCACATATTTTCACGAGCCGGTACGGCGAGTGAAAATATGTTGCATTTTATCATGTTTCGTGAAAATATATACCATATTTCACAAAAAAAAAAACGAAAAAATATTCATTATCAAAGAAAATGGTAACGAATCCCCTTGCTTGCAACCAACTGCAATTGTACAGCGCGCAGTAATCTATGCGTAAGCACGCGCTGTTTGGCGCTACATTGTGACGTCATGTAAACAACTCTATAAACGTCTGTACAGCATTAATTACTAAATTAAAGATATTGGCGTTCGGATTAATTTTCTTAGTTAGACCATTTTCTATCATGCTAGATAGTTTTCAAAACAATATTCAAGAAAAAGTTGTTTTGTATTTATCAGATTTTTCAAACAAAACGGCGAAAGAAGTCCCTAAAAATAAATTTGAGTTTTAACTCCGCCCACTTTCATATTTATATTTCATATTTATTTTAAAAAAAAATGAAATATATTTCACTGATATAGCACCATTTTTCATGGGTAAAATTAAATAATTAAGAAATATTTAAGAAATATGATAGTTACACTTAACCCGTAATTTGCTTGAACAACGATTGATCAGGATCCATGCTGTTCTCTTATCAACTCTATTACAAATAGAAAAAATGATAGCGAACAGCATGAATCCTGATCAGACTGCGTAAATTCGCCGACTTGTCTGGATCCATGATGGACGTCAACGCACTATGTTATTTTTTTCATGACGCGGCTCGTATATGTTTATGAAAAAAATTGCGATAGTGTCTTAAAGCCGGTGTAAGGGACGTGAGGGATGTTGGACTTTTACATTATACCTCATGTACAGTCTTAAATCGAGTCTGCAATTTTCATGTAAATTTAATGTGTTTAATTGGATGACATTCTATCCAGATTTTGATATGTTGTAAAGTGTACGGAACATATTGTAAAATTATTTTAGAGACAGAGCATTTTTGAGATTGTCAAAAAGAATAACAGTAGTAAAAGTGTTACTAACACGTTAGTTCTTATTTCTATTTATCATGTAGTATCATTACAAAGACAGGATTTGATACTGATAGCGCTAGCATCGGAGAGACTTTTATAAAATGTTACTGGCGACCTTTTCGTGCTTACAAACTTTTGCCAAAGCACCTGTTTTATTCTACTCTAATAATTAGAAAGCAGATACTCATCTTAGGCCTTAGATAATATCTCAATTAGAAATGTGTCTCAGTGATAGAAAACGCTGCAGCAACGGTTCTCTTAAAACTTTGCTTTTTGTAATACATGTAATAATATATATATTCTCTATACCTAGAATATTGTATACGTGTATACGATATGAGAAACTATTGCGGGGGAAAACTAACAATAATAACCATTAACATTTGATTGTAGAAAAGGCTTAAGAGCCTCTATGAAACACCAATGATGCCCCCTCCCTTCCTTTTTCCTACAAAGAATTTATAGCAATTATAGCATTACTTTCTACGGTTTTTATATAGAAAATGACAGTCTTCGCACCTACATGTTCATAAGAAAAAGTAGTATAACCAGAAAACTCCTTCAATTTAATATAAGGATTTCACGGCAATTAGAGAAATAGCAATAATAAGTTCTTTATATGTAATATGAAAGACAATGACATAATTGCCAAAAGTACAATAAAGAAATATCTTGGGAAATAAAAAAAAATGCATTGACATCAAAGCCATAAATAACGACATTATATTTATCACTTTCATAAACAATTATTGTATAGATTTTTTTCATGTAATACCCATGAGGATAACATATTCACAAATAAGCAACATATGTAAATAAAATGTATACTTATGTAAATGCATAAAGAAATCAGCAGTTTCGTAAATATTTTATCCTTATTATCTGTCATAATTCATCCGAAGTAAATATTAACATACATACGTTCTGCTTAATTTTACATCAGGATGCGAGGGAAAAACGCCTTTAACATTATAGTTTGACACTAAGAACGCTGATGGAAACTGTAATTGTTGATTCCAATGTTTCTATTCTTTGAATCTGTCATTTGATATCATCTAGACGAATCACAAGTATTGCATATTAATGGGCATATAATACAGTTATTTGATTTTAAGATTAAAAATAACATTTTTAAGGTTTTGATTGTTACCACAACACGATCCAATATATATTTGAATATGTTTTTAGTGCGCCTAAAACCGGTTTTAACTCCCCAGTGATGTGACTACCACTGACCGTTCCATTGTAGTATCACTTTGTGTTCCTTCACACGTTTCTAGTTTCACATTTCTGTATTGTTACTTGTTTTATGAATGACGAATGGCAACTATTGCATATTAATTAGCATATAATATACAAATGTAGTAAAATTTTTTTTTTTGATTAAAAATAATATTTTTCAATGTTTTGCTTGTTACCACGACACGATCCAATACATATTCGAATATATTTTTAGTGCGCCTAAAACCGGTTCAAACTCCCAGGTGATGTGGCTATCACTGACCGTTCCAAGGTAGTACCCCTCTGTGTTTCTTCACGAGTTTCTAGTTTCATATTTCTGTATTGTTACTTGTTTTGTGAATGATTGTATGTTTTATGTGTCCATCTAATTAAATTGTCGCTGACGGTATTTTCTCTACCTCCCCCCCCCCCCTTCTCCCGTTTTTTTAGCCCTACCACTTCTTCACCCTCAAACATGTAGCCCTTGTCATTTTTATTCACATATTGGTCTTACTTGTCCTTCTCCTTCTGCGGCCATTGTGTCCACTTCTCGTTCTGATATGGTGCCTTCTGTGTGTCCTGCTGTGTCTGAGGCTGCATCCTGTTTACGTTGCTTTTGCCTTTGTTAATCTTTTAGAGGGTATTTTACACCAACGCGACTTTTTATCATTAACAGTATAATATATTGCAATAATGAAATTGTAATGGGCAGATATTTCTTAACTACTTACAATTAAAGTACAACCGAGATCAATAACCTTCGCCAAAAGTTACAAACTGACACGTTAAGAAATATGTTTTTTTAATGAAACACGAATGAAGCTATACAGTTTAATATTTTAATGGAATCTAATACAAACTGCGGATATATAGAGACAATGCAATATAACAACCCTAACAATAAACAAAAATCAGTATTTATTTAGTATTTCAAAATATTTTATCATAATTTTAATGTAATATTAAAACATTTATGAAAAGAAAACAAAGATTTGGGATTTTTTTTTGTTCTTAGAACTTTTATGTGATCATTGTACTGAAGATTTATTATTCTTTTCATATTTAGTTTGAAATGCTTGTTTACTTGTTGATCCGAATTCAGGAAATGATGGCAATATATAGGCACAATATTGGATGTTTATAATTTGCATACACACATACACGTTAATTTAAGAAACAATGTTCTGTCTGTCATGTCTGTTTGAAAGTGTAGTCACACACATATTGTTTAAACATCTCATACAGCCTTCTTCATTATTTTTGTGTTTCGTGTACACAGTTGATAACTTGTCATGTGTGTCGATATATTTTATACTTCTCAATACACCGATAAGGCGATCAATCATGCTTGTCTATTACAAGAACGTGTCGGATGTTTTATATTGTCTGCTACGTTATCAACAATTGTTTTAAGTTACATCATTATATAAAGTTATTGTCGCTAGTCAGATGTGCTGAAAGATTGTATTGCATCTGGCAAAGCTGTATGTTTGTCTGCCCCATCTGCATTATATGTATTGTCAAAATTGATCCTCCCTCCGACAAAACAAACTATAAAGCAAGCCTGATATTATCTAGAAATATACGGATGAAAGATTTATAGCGCTTTCTATTTCAGTTTAAATTTAATGAACAATTATTTGGAAAAGAGATATAAGTATTAATTTTATAGATGGGACATTATCAACAAAGACATGATTGATAGGTTGCTATATCCAATAATACTCCGTTTCTTTGGAATAAGAATATAATCATCACAATATGTGATCTTATTTGAATTTACCACAGATTTTATGACTGATTATTTACTTCTGTTCCGAATCTTTCAAAAAAGTCTCATCCTACAGAAATACAAAGTTTCAGGCATTGAGTCCATATTTCAAATTCCTCAACAAAGTCCCCTTTATATATATCTTTCAGTAACTGAACAAATGGCTGACCAAAATCCGTTTCTACGTGTCTATCTTATAGCGATGACAAGGAAGATGTCATTTTAGTATATCAGTCCAGAAAGAGAAAAGAAACTCTATTAGAAGCTGTCAATTTACGCAATCGTTTCCTTCACTTGGTTTGAACAAAATCAGACTATCAGACTTTATTTAAACTTTGTTTGCAATAATTACTTACTTACTTCTATCAAACATGAGTTCAAATTTTACTTCATCCGTTTAGCTAACAAGATGTCAGTTTAAAGAAACTTAAATGTTTCTGCTACTAGTACTTCATACTAATCATCACCCTTGCTTTATCATTTCCCATTGTGCTTATCCAGTATTGAATATGCCATCACAAACTTATCACTTTGAGTGGGGAGTAAATACCGAAAGGTCTGTTCGCCATTAACAGAGTCTACAATTATAGTGAAATCTTATTGAATTAGCCATTCTTAATAAGTGAACAATAGTTAGTTAGATATAAATGTTTTACTGAGACTAAGCTGAATAACAATTAAGCAGTCTTATATAATTGACTCGATTCAAGCCATAGCATACAAAACGAAGTTAATTAGAATCATTTATCTAGAATGTCAGATCTTTTTTTGTCCGAAAAGAAAGAATACATTCTTACATGATAAGTGTACTTTATTTTTCTCTTTTTTGTTCTATGCAATCTTGGTTATTAAAATTGATATGTTAAATAAAACACGTAACCTATCATGTTTTCCGACGTTTTGATACTTTTCAATATACCGAGATACTATGCTTGTCTTTTACATATAATTCTTGAATGGTTTATGTCGTCTGTTACGTGATCAACAACCGCCTTTTTATATAATAAGGATTGTCATTTCTTTCTCAATACAGATGTTTTCAAATATCAAATTGTATTTGCAAAACCCTCTTTTATCAGACTGAGCCACATCTGCATTAATAGAGTTGTAGAAATTGAGCTCTGATAGATAAAAACCATTGAAGGAAAATCCGAAATTGTCTGGAAATATATGGATAAGATATCTTTAGCTTGCTTTCATTTTTTATTTATTTAATCATTTATTTATTTATTCATTCATTCATTTTAAAATATTTGATATAGAAATTAGAGACGAAATAAAACATGAAACATTTAAGTATTCAATTCTTATCCATTCGTTAGAGAGAAATACATAATAGATAGACCAGACCACTTTAATATCTAGTAATACTCCATTTTTATGAAATTTGAATAACGTTTATTCTAAAAGTCTTATGTGCTAATCCTTTACCACAATTTGAGTAGTTAAAATAATATTCTGCTTAGAAACTACTCCGGAAACAATTATAAATAACTATCTATTGCACAAAATGTACCAACCTCCAATGTTAAAACCTCTTTATCAAGAAGTATGCTGTTTATTTTATGAATCACATAATTTATCTTCAAATGCTTAAAACGGAGCTAAATGTGATTTAGAAAAAAACATTGATAAATGCAAACTCATTGATAAAGATGCTCGTCGAAACATTGGAAATTTGTAAAATATTATGTTTATTTATTTCTTTAAAAATGGGGTGTTATTGCACCTCCGGAGAAAATTTATTGCAACCGAGCAAAATAGTTATGTCAAGTGTCATAAAGATTGATTCGATGCTATGAAGTACGATCTGAAAATCAAAAAGAGAATATTTCCAGGTTGGTGCCTATTTTCTTAATGCTAGAAGTGACGCCTCCCTTTGCTTCATTCTTATCCAGTCTTGAAAGTTATTCATCAAACGTTCAAAGTTATACACCTTTTTCATTATTTCTATCATTGTAAACGGATATGCCTAATTCTTACGGTATAACGCATACTTTTTTTATCTTTTTATCTTTCTGTAAAAAGCAATCTTTAAGATCGTAAGACAAGAAATAATATGTACTTGAAACAATGCTGTATATATGATAGACACTCCGACGTCAAAAACGAGTCCATGCGGTGTTTAAGCCGTCAAACATAGTCATGTATATCTATCTTACCAAAGATGTTATAGCGACGTTTTTTGCGATCATTCAGCACGGCGTTATTGTCGTTTTAGTGTTGTTTTCTATTCCTTGTTGTTTTTTTTTTTTTTTTTTTCATTTATTTGATATTTGAAGTATAACAATACAAACATACATATTAACATACAATTCATAGACTCATACCTATAATTTCAAAAATAAAAAAACTACATAAGTATGAAAAACATCCATTTACTCCATATTTCTACTATATATTTATTCATTTTGAATAATAGAAAGAGTATTTCAGATAAAGGGACTGAAAATTTAAAGTACATGTATATTCAAAGACCTTTTTAATATTATTTGGAGAAAGGGAGAATGAAAAAAAGAAGGATTTTTGAAGTATATTCAAAAGTATTTAACATTATTTGGTGTAAAAATAAGGAAAGAGAGAGAAAAAAAAACAACAAAGAAAATGTCAGAGAAAATATACATACACAAACATACACACAGACATTCAAAAATATACTTTTTTCCTACATACATACAAAACATACATACAATCACAAAAAAGAGACAAAAAAAAGGAACAAGCGAGCTAATTTCAATTAATTTTCTTACGTTTTATGGTTTTGAAAATATTTTTAACTTTCTCTTACTGTTGGTTTGTATGTTAGAGCGTTAAACAAGTTACCCCATTTTTGTTTGTGTGATTCAACGTTATCATTTAGAAAAGCAATTTCCTCTTCAATTTGTAATCTCAATAGCAAAAAGTTTTTGAAAATATCAAAAGTTGGTTCATGCTTTTGGTATTTCATTTTAAGGATAAAATATTTCATAAGTATGATGATATAATTTACTAAAATACTATTAATATTGTTTTTCAGTTCTCCAAAAAACACTGTTTCTAAATTATATGAGAAAACAATATTGATTGATAAAAGAAAAGAATGTAATTTTGACCATAAATTTTGTACAATAGTACATTCCCAAAAAAGATGGTAAAGCGTTTCTAAATTGCTACCACAAAAATCACATAGATTTGAATTACAAAGGCTATACTTAAATAACATTGTATTAGTTGGAATAAGTCTATGAATAAATTTGTATTGAAAATTTCTCAATGACACGTCTGTAGTACTTTTAAATGGAACCATATATATTTTTTGCCAATCCAGCTCAGTTTCTATTTCTTTTTCCCATTTCTCTTCATTTGTATTTTTGAACCTTTCATCATTTTCAAGTTGAATATTATATAAAAGCTTATTTGTAGATTTTGATTTTTTAACTTTATTTAGGAGTGTATCTTGTACTTCGTTATAATTTCTTGTAGATTTCAGACTATCAAGATATCCTTTTGGTATATTATTCACAAGCGTGTAATATTTTAAAAACTCAGCATTTTCCATACCATAGATATTTTTAAGGTCTTCAAATTTGTAGAGTTCATTTTTCCTATAATCATATAGATGTTCTAAATATAGAATACCTTTTTGATGCCATGTTTTATAGTACACCAATTTATTATCAATTTTAATATTCGAATTGTTCCATATTATATGTTTAAGGTTATCTTTTTTATTATTGTGTTCTTGTTGAATATGAAACCATGACGAAAGCACATTGTTTACAAATGAATTATGAGGAAAAAGCTTATTGATATCTGATTTCGAAAGATTACAGTCAAATATAAGGTCATT